CAAGGACCTCTGAAAATGCAAAAATAAGGCAAAAGATTGTAGCAGAGGAGATGTTTTTTTAAAAAACCAGGTCCCAACAGGGAGTGCCCAGGTCAGAGGGGAGGGGGCGGCCAAGGCCGGGGGCAGAGGGAGCACGTGTGCACCCCTCAGAACTGTTTCGTGGCTGCCCCAGCAGCCTGTCCTTACCGCCGGCCATGGCTCTGTCTGTCCTGTGTCCTGCTATGTTTGTCTTTCCACCTGTGCACGTCACTGGCAACAGAACTGTGCAGAGCTGCTGACCCACGCTGTCGGGGCCCTGGAGCCTGAACACCCCCTAGAGGGCACCAGGGTTAGAGGTCAGCTCACCCGGATCTACGATGCCTAGAGCATCAGCTGTGCAGGCGGCGCTCTGTGCACTATTCGTTTCCCTTAATTTGTCAGGCTTTACCTGCTGTTTCATAATAAACTCCTCTCATTCTTATGCTGGAGTAAATAACGCTCTTGCTGCAACCTACATCCTCAAAAGCAGTGCCTGACTAGCCGAGAAACCACCCGGGTGCCAGTGGGTGGGCAGCTGGGTCCCCGGCTCCTCCGTGGTAGCTCCACCCTCAAGAGTCTCCAGCAAGGTTGGGTACCCAGCCAGGGGACAAGAAAGGATGGGGGAGCTAGACAGCCGGAGACAGGAGGGGTCCCGCACAAACGTCAGCAGCCAGAGCAACCCATGACACTGTTGCCAGAAAGGTCACTCGCCACGCCACATTTCATGCATCTGTGGGCTGGATGTTTGTGTCCCCAAATCCCCAGGTTGAAACCCCCACCCCCATGTGGCTGTATTTGGAGCAAAGCCTCTAAGGCAATGATCAGAGTCAGATGAGGTCGTGAGGGTGGGCCCCACACCAGGGTCAGCGTCCATACAAGAGGAGACTCCAGCTCGCTGTCTGTGCACACACCGAGAAGTGGTCCTGAGAGGAACCATCCGCCAGCACCCAGGCTCAGGCAGTGGTTTGGGACGTCCTCTTCTGGGAGCCTCACAGGGCCCATCAGGCGCACAGAACGAGACACCTCCTGGGCTGATGGTCTATGGCTTCGCGGACATTCAGAAACTTCACTTTCAAGGGAAGGAAAAGGGGCAATCAGAGGTCCGTTGGAATCCCACCTCAGAGCATACAAGGCATGGGAATCAGATCTCAGCACCTTGAAAACTTACTGGAGAAGGAAACCCTCAATAAAATGACGAGGCAACCTACTGAGCAGGATAAGACACTCACAAATGACGCATCCAACAAGGGGTTAATATCCAAAATCTGTAAAGAACTTCTACAACTCAACACCAAAAACCACCCCAAATAATCCAATTAAACATGGGCAGATGACCTGAATAAACATTTTTCCAAAGAAGACATCCAGATGGCCAACAGACACACGAAAAGATGCTCAACATCACTCATCATCAGGAAAATACAAATCAAAACCACCAGGAGATACCACCTCACACCGGTCAGAGTGGCTATAATTTAACAACTGAACAAGCAGATGTTGGCGAGGATGTGGAGAAACGGGAACCCTCTTGCACTGCTGGTGGGAATGCAAACTGGTGCAGCTGCTCTGGAAAACAATGTGGAGGTGCCTCAAAAAGCTAATGCGATAATTCCACTAGTATTTACCCAAAAAAAATAAAAACACTAATTCACAAGATACACACCCCAGTGTTGATGGCAGCACTATCAACAACCACCAAGATATGGAAAGCAAACAAGTGTCTGTAGTTTGATGACCAGATAAAGAAGAGGTGGTGTATATACACAACGAAATATTACTCAGCCATAAAAATGAATGAAATCTTGCCATTTGCAACAACGTAGATGGAACTAGAATATATTCTAAGAAAAATCAGTCAAAGAAAGACAAACACTGTATGACCTCACTCATTGATGGTCACCAGAGGGGAAGTGGGGGGGGGGGTGATAGGTGAAGGAGACTGAGAGTCTCCTTCATATCATCACGAGCACTGAGTGCCGAACAGAGTTATCTCATCCTTATGTTGCACACCTGAAACTATATTGAATATAACACAGTAGCTTCTCCATACTTCAATTTTTTAAACGTTCTTAGAGAAGTAAAAGATAGGCAGTCTGCCCTTGAGCCGCTTAAAACCCTGGGGAAGCCAGAAGAAGGCAGCACGTGAAGCCCCAGGAAGCCCATCCCAGAGAGAGACTGCACGGACAGCCACCTGCAGGCACCATGGTGCCCAGCAGGCAGGGCGCACCCCAGCAGTTAGGTGCCCCCACAGAACAGCATCTCGACTCTCCCCCAACGGCCAGCATACTGAGGAGCCGGAGGAAGGAAGACCACGTCCTCCTGTGACCTGACAAAGGCAAAAGGTAAGGCCTTACGCCCACTGGTTCCTCAAGGTCCATCTCAGCTGTCAGCTCCAGTGATGCCTTTCTGGGCCCCTGTGCCTAGACAGGAGCCTCATTCTCTGTGGCCAGGCGAGAGCCCCTCCTCCCTGAGAGGCAGGTGGCACCGAGGCTGCGTCTTCCTGCTGGTCCTGCAGGAACAGTGCCCAAAGGCTCTTGCCCAAGAGCAGGCCTCTCAGACGCCCCACAGAGCCCTCAGACCCCTGTTCCCACGGAGCCCAGCTCCCTGTTTGTGTCCCGTCAGTCAGAGCTCTGAGCTCCCCTCCCCACTAGCCTCCAGAGGTGGGACCTAAGTATGTGTCAGGCGAAAGGATAAGCCCTGCCCTCGGAGGTGGGGCCAAGGCACCATGAACCCTACCAGCCCCGTGTCTGCACCTGTAGCTGCTCAAGAAACAGCAGTTACGACTGCCCAGGTCATGGTCCGGGTGCCTGGCAGAGCCTGATGATGCAATTAATCTTCCCACACAAATTAAGAAGTCAGGCTCATCCAAGACGTGCAGAAATTACCCAAACTCACACTCTGTGAAAAACTGCTGCCCTCTCAGTTACAGCATGAGAGGGGAAGAGTCATGACAAGGAGAAATGGTCTGAATGTGGCCCCAAAAAGGCATGCCCGTATCCTGCCCCAGAGCCCGTGCCTGGGTCTATGCAGATGTGAACTGAAGGAACCGAGGTGAGCTCATCCTGGATGAGAGTAGCCCTAAACCCAGTGACAGGCATCTTGTAAGAGACAGAGAAGGAGAGGCAGATGCAGAACAGAAGCCACATGATGATGGAAGCAGAGACAGGAAGGACATGGCCACAAGCCCAGGGATACGAGGAGCCCCCTCCCGGAAGCTGGAGGAGGCGGGAAGGACCCTCCCTGGAGCCTCAGGAGGGAGAATGCCCTCGACACCTTGACCTCAGACTACTGTCTCCAGAGCCAGGCGGGAACAGATTTCTGCTGTTCTGAACCACCCCGTTTGCGGTCTCCAGTTCTGGCTGCCCCAGGACACCCACACCCAGTGCACCTGGGACACGTACCCACTCTCTCTGGACCTCCATCTTTGGGTCACACGGGACAGGACAGTCTCCAGGATTCGTCTTGCCCATGACTGACTCCACAGTGCCCAGTGGAGGTGAGGCACCTCACCCAGCAGCCTCACTGCCTCTGGGGCCAAGCCAGGGAAGACCCCCCAGCACACACGCCCCACGTCCAGCAGGCCCCACGCCACCTGCCAGGCCTGAACCGTCACGCCTGTATGGCACCCGCCACTCCAGGCTTCGGCAGCAGCCACAGCAGCACAGGGAAAGGCGCCGAGCCCCCAGCGGCACTGGACAAGCGGCCGCCAAAGCCTCAGTGTCGTCGCTGCACGTTTCCAGCATCCGAGAGGCAGGCCTGTTTCTGTATCAACACATTTCACTGACCATAAATGCGTTTTTTTTAACGCGGTCTCTATCTTTCGCATCTTTGCCAAGACCTGTTCCTGTCTGCAGCACAATGTGCAGACGCCTAGCGGGAAATGAACGTCCGTCCCGTCACAGAAACGAGCCACTTGCCCACCTCGCAGGTAAGCGGATGCTGGACGTGGCTCCAGGAAGATGCCACCAGTGTCTGCAGCGACCAGGGAAATGATCATTAGTAACAATGATGGTGATGAACGAAGAACACTTAGGAAGCCCACGGCAGCACACTCAGCATTTCAGACACGTGACTGCATTGAATCCTCATGGAAACACCGTCAGCTCAAAACAAAGAGGATTACCTTATAAAACGGGCCCTCGTGACTCACACCACATCTCTGCCTCCAGTGCCGTGAAGGGCGCTGCATCCCAGCCTGCCTCCTGCAGCAGAGAAGCAACACGGCCACCGTGGGGCCATGTCGGAGGGAGAAGGGTGACGAGAAAACCACATCTGTGGACCACGCCGGCCTTGTCACTGCAGATGAGCGGCTTCAGTAGGGACACTGGTCACACTAGGAAAATTTCAACACGTGGGGTTATGTCGACTCAGTGTGTGTGTGCATGTGTGTGTGCGCACGCGCTGTCCAAATGTATTTGTGCACAGCTGTGCATATGCACGTGTGTGGGTACGCACTGTGAATGTGTCTCTGTGAGTGCTCGTGTGCGCACGCATGTGTGCATGCGCACATGTGCAGAAATGTGAAGGAAGACTGTGGGTTAGCAGGGAACAGCTCAGCCAGGAGGCACCTGAGATCGTGGGGTACTTAGAAACTGGTTCTACAACCCCGAAAACAGGGAACCAAGTGTGTGGTTTGTGCAAGTCCCCAGCTCCACTCAGGGTTCTATGAAACAAGAATCCCAGAAGGACAGCCCCAGGCTGGCCCCTCCAAGTGGCAGGGGAGGGTGGGAGTGTCTGTGGCTTCCCACGGGCAGGCTCTGCCCAGACTCGCTCGGGGCCAGGCTTGGGGTCCTCCCCCACAACCGTGGTCTGCCACCGGTTCAGTGTAATATCTGGTTCTTTCCCCAGGCCATGGGGTCGTAGGATAGTGGGCATGGTGTCGTCTGGACACCGCACATGGGGACGTGGCTTGGAGGAGGAGGGAGGCCAGGCCACCGCCCGCGCTCAGCCGTCAAAGAGGCCCTGGTGCTTGTGTCTTTCAGGAATTCGCAGACTCCGTGTCCCAGCTGGTCACACAGAAGTTCCGCGAGCTGACCGTGGGCCTGGCGTCCGCGCACGCCCGCCACAAAGCACTGGCAGGGATCGTCATGACCACAGGTAACACCTCTTGTTTTCCCCGTGGGAACCTCACCTGCAAGGAGAGGAGATTTAGTGTTTGCCTGATCTTGGGAGCAAGACAAATCCCTCTTCCACACGAAGACGCCAACAAGAGAAACAGGAATAGGACCCAGGGAGCTCTGTGACCAGAATAGATGGTCAGCAGAGCCGTGCCACCAGTGGCCGTAAAGCCCACCACCTCAGAGCCAGCTCTGCCCACGCGCCTCGGGTCCCGCCAAGAAGGGCCACGTGAGGACCTGGCCTGTGTTTCCCATTAGGCTCCCAAGCCGCAGTGGAGAACGCCGGGCACATTGGTGTTGCTAGCACTGGAAGCCAAGGTCAGGCCCAGCCGCCGACCGGTGCCGCGGGCGGGTGGGTGAGGAGGCTGCCCTCGGGTGCCTGCGTCTCCTCTGCACAGGGAGTCTGAGTCCCCGCCGGGTGCCAACCCCAGCACAGGACACGGGGTGCTCTCCTTCCTGCCAAATGGATCGCAGACGTGGCACCCGCCCCACACGAGCGGCAGGACGGGAGGGGAACTTCCAGACCGCAGAGGAGGTCGAGGCCTGGGACGGCCAGGGCGGGAGAGGCAATGGCTGATTTTCAGTAATCGGTTTTAGTGAAAACGTCTCATTACTAGCCTATGAATAGTAACTAACCGGTTGGTTGTTTGAATCCTACTGTTTCTGGCTCCACAGCTCGGCACGAGTTGGTAGCGACCCGCTCAAAATGATTATTGCAGAAATAACTGGCTTTGGGCTAGGTTTCACACAGAGACTTTGCGTGTCTACACAAAGACTATCTGATGACGAAACAGATTTAGGTTGAAAATCCATTGAAACCAGATAGTCGGCATCGTTTTGCTATCATCCCAGCCCCGGGGGGCCCAGTGTGAGGATGCCGGAGGAGCGGCAAAGCCACTCAGGATCCCATGTCCTTTCCATCCAGGGCATCTTAGTAAAATGGAAATAAAAGTGCCACCCCCACCCCCAACCACCTGCTGTTATTTGGTGAGTAGGATGAGGCATATGAAATGCTTTGAAAGGTAACAACTACTGTAGGAGGACAACATGCTGAGGCCAAGGCAATTCAGTTTTGCCAACGATACCACAGTGTCCAGTGCCTCCATTCGGCCCTAGTCACTGACACCCGCCCCCTCTTGTACTTGCACAAACATCTGCCTCCTTGTAGAAAATGCAATATTCGGGGCGCCTGGGTGGCGCAGTCGGTTAAGCGTCCGACTTCAGCCAGGTCACGATCTCGCGGTCCGTGAGTTCGAGCCCCGCGTCAGGCTCTGGGCTGATGGCTCAGAGCCTGGAGCCTGTTTCCGATTCTGTGTCTCCCTCTCTCTCTGCCCCTCCCCCGTTCATGCTCTGTCTCTCTCTGTCCCAAAAATAAATAAACGTTGAAAAAAAAAAAATTTAAAAAAAAGAAAATGCAATATTCTAAGTTGAAGGCTAGGACTCCACCTCCATCGAGATCATTCCTGCTGGACATGGCCATTCTTTTCTCCAGCCAGCCAGCAGCCCAGATGCCTCTACATGCCCGGCACCATTCTTCACACTAAGGGGGTGCCAGGAAAGAAGAGCCCCCACTTTAGGACATAATCTAGGAAACCGTGAGAGGTGCTAGAGTCCAAGAACAGTCGCTTGGGTTTGAATCCCAGCCCCACCTTCAACTAGCCATGACTATAGGTCAATCAGCCTCTCTGCAACTTAGAGGGAAAAAAGAAGGAAGGAGGGAGGGAGGGAGGGAAGAAGATAAAGAAGGAAGGAAGGAAGAAGGGAGGGGGGAGGAGGGGGAAGGAGGGACGGAAGGAGGGAAGAGGGAGGGGAGGAAGTAAAGAGGAAGGGAAAAGAGGAAGGGAAAAAAGGAAGGGAGTGGGAAGGAAGGAGGGAGGGGAGGAAGAGAGGAAGGAAGAGGGAGGGGAGAAAGGAGGCGAGGAAGGAAGGAGGGGGGGAGGGGAGGAGGAAGGAAGGAAGGAAGGGGAGTAATATTTTGCAAAGATTCGTGGGAAAACGGCATGTAAAAGTGGTCAGTGAATACACCGTTTTATGTGCTGACAATTTATCTGCACGAACAAAATTTATTCTATTAAGTGCAACTGTACAAAGTGAAGTTTCACTAATTAGTAACTTTAAACGTTGAAGAATAAATTGCTGAAATTTACTTTCCTGTTATAAAGAGAAGATTTAATAAACACGTTGATTAACAAGACATTAGGGAGATGTGTGCAGAATTACTGACAAGTATTTTCTTTAATCATTGACTTAAAGCTGATGTGACACTTGACCCCAGTCCTAGTACAGGTATTTAAGCTAATGCCTAGGAAGCTCCAAGAGGGAAGGTTTTTCTGGCTCGAGTTCCCATCTGTGTACAAAGTTGTAAAAATGCAGTGATTCCGCAGGAAAATGGGACTCAGAGGCCCGTCCACTTCTAGGTGGGCGAGACTCAGCCCCTGCAACGTGCTTGCCCTTGTGTGGCCATCAGGAGAAATCTGATTGCAAAAACATACGCCTGCGAATAGAATAGCTTTTACTTTTATCTAAATAATGCAGTACTGGTCAAAACTCCAGAAGAGAGCTCGGGACAAGACACGGCGCTCTCCTGCCAGCCCCTCAGGGAAGCCATCACTCATGGTCTATTTGTGTCCTCGCAACTCTCAACACTATCGGTTCCGTGTTCACTGTTTCAATTCTGAGTAATACTGATCTGCACCATTACAATCGGACACTTTTTTGTTTTCATGATATTTGTAATATTTGTAGTTTTAGATAATATGCTTTTATTTCTTGTCCTACAAATGGAGATGATTTATCTTTACTTCATGCTCTGCCTTGCAAGTGGCCTTGTATCACTGTACGTGTATATCCGTATTGTCGTATAACGATACTGTACTTGTACTCTCTGCCGTACTGAAGTCTTCCCTACTCCGTCCAGTCATCTGAGCTTGGAAACCAGCACTTGGCCTCCACGCGGTCAGGATGCTGTAGGGTCCCAGCGCCAAGCACAGGCTGACCTAGGGTTGCTGTGCTGTCACCAGACCGTGTCCTGAGAGCAGTATCATCCAGTCTTACAGATTCTCCTTCTGCCACCACTCAAAGCCATGTCACATTTAGGGTCGGCCCAAATCTGTAGCTAGACTTCCTTAAAGACCTTCTGAGGTAGTATGTGTGTTTTAGCAGAACACTCAACTTTCTTCTATTTCGCTGAAAAGAAGGAAGTGCCTGTAAGTCCCTGTGTCTGTGGACAGGTCCACACCCTCCCCCAGCTGTGACTGTGCCCCCAACACACACAACACCTCTTTCTCCTCCCTTCTCCCTGACAGGTGCAGCCTCAAGAAACACCCTTTAAAACACGTGGGGAACAGAAACCAGCAGGCTCGCTCGCCAGGCAGTGTCCTGACTGTGCCTTTCATATTACTGGAATAGCTTTGCTTAGGGAGAATTCCACACTGAAAATTATTTTCCCTGCACATCTGGAGGGGATTTTTCTATTATCGCTTACTAATGTTTCTAACTAGAAACATCCGGCTGACATCTTTGCCGGATCGCCCCCACCCCACCCAAGGAAGGGAAAGGGTCCTTTCTTAAACTGAATGTTTTAGGGGCATGGGGGGGGGGCAGGGCTCATTCGGTTAAACCTCCAACTCTTGATTTTAGCTCAGGTCATGATCTCATGGTTTGTGAGTTCAAGCCTTGGCTTGAGCTCTGCGCGGACAGTGTGGAGCCTGCTTGGGATTCTCTGTCTCTCCCTTTCTCCTTCTCTCTCTGCCCCTACCCCTGCTCGTTCTCTCTCAAAATAAATAAAAATAAACTTTAGAAACAAATAAATAAACTGAATGTTTTCTAATTTCACAAGAATGTGTGCATGTGGGAGCCATGCACCCACCCTGATTTATTTAAGCTGTTCTGTTTCTGCACTGTTTCCTTCTATCATTCTGTTGATAAATTCCTTCTTTTACACACTTTTTTCAAACATTCAGTATTCTGACTGAACCCTCGGTCTTACTTCCTGATGTCGTCTACCCTTTTCCTCTGTTCTTGGGCATTTCTGAAACTTCCCTGACCCTCTTCAACTGCCCGTCGCTTCTTAAATGTTTTTTTAGCATTTTAAAATTTATTTTTGAGAGAGAAAGACAGAGCACAAGCAGGGGAGGAGCAGAGAAAGAGGGAGACACAGAATCCAAAGCAGGCTCCAGGCTCTGAGCTGTCAGCACAGAACCCAACGTGGGGCTGGAACTCACAAACGGTGAGATCATGACCTGAGCTGAAGTCGGATGCTCAACTGACTGAGCCACCCAGGCACCCCTGTCCGACGCTTCTTAATCTCTGCAATCTTCATCACTCATCACCTCAGGTTCCTCCCTTCTCCTGTTTTATTGAGGTGACGCTCCCCACAGGTCCCTGGGGAGACTCAGCAGCTGAGGCCTGGGCCTCCTCTGTGATGGAGCTTTGTTTACTGTCTGTCTCTGTCTCTTTTTGGCTTTGTCTGAATATTCACATTCATGAGAAAAATACTAGCTCAACTATCACCAGTGCAGCTCTGATTTCCTCTAGAATTGCATCCCTTTCCGGGGATACAGCGGAAGGTGGGGGCTCCCCCCCATCGGAAGCCTCCTTGACCCAGGTGGGTCGGGACCAGACAAGGCCCCTTAAACTGAAAGTCACCCAGTGAACCCGCCCTTGGGGCCTCCTGATCGGTGCCTGCTTTCTCTGAGCCCACCCCGCAGGCCACTGCTCCCTTGTGACGGCTCCTCCACGCGGTACTGGGATGTCATCCTGCCCCTCCACGCCGCCACACACCCCCCAGAATCCTTTCCTTCGGTGGATCCCACGGGAGGAGAAGCAACATGTCACTCACTCTGACCTCCTGAACCCGAAACCTGGACACTGACCGTTTAGCCAAGTTGTCAAGCAACAGCTCCGGCTTCTCCTTTGTGAAGCAAGTCGGGTGTTTCCATGAGAAAGAGATTCTTGAAGGGGCCTTTAGTAATGATGATT